TTGATTACGCTTTCATCTCTAACATGTTTATATGGAGCTTGCTTTCTTGCTGATTCCATAACCCTGAAGCCGTCGGTTGGCGAGATGAGCTCCCCAACCCTGGGGCGGCAGCGTCTACATATAGATGGGTTTTGAATTCGGCTCTGTTAAACAAATGCCTTCGCAGACATTCGACCTCCTGGTCCACCATAGTAGATGAGGTCTGAGGTGTTTCGGTAGACTGAATGGTTGTAGGTCGTCGAGATGAGCATTGATGAAGACCTGTAACGGACGTAACTGTAGTCTGCCTCTGACTGTCATGTCTTGGGCTGACGTGAGGAGACCCAACAGGCTCTGCCAATGTCGTAGTGGTAGCGGAGAGAGTAGGGCTAGAGGAATGGTCTGTTGGATCTTGAGCCATCGGTCTTCTGGTACGACGATACGGTTGAGAGTCGTGATAAATCGAATGCCTAGAAATTGCAGATCTTGCGAGGGTACTAGGTCCGACTTGAGTAAATTTACTAACCATCCTAGCTGTGTTAGTAGCTTGATGATGTAGTTTAACTGTAGTTTGAGACGCTGTGGATCTTGATCTACTTGTATCCCGTCGTCGAGGTAGAACGCACTGCGTAGCCCTAGACGATGTAGATAGGTGACGATAGGTTTCGTTATTCTTGTGAATAACCAGGGGGCCGATGATATTCCGAATGGGAGTACTTTCCATTGGTAATGCAGCCCGTCTAGTGTAAATCGTAGGTATTTCCTGGATTCGGGATGTATCGGGATGTGTAGATACGCGTCTTGCAGATCTATACTGGCCATGTAATCCATGGGACGAATTAACTGCCGTAATTGAGGTAGATGTATCATGCGAAACGTTGGCGGTTTGCGTAGATAATCTCTGTTGAATATGCTCATGTTGTAAATGAGTCTGTATTTCTCCTTGGAGTTTTTCTTGGGTATTAGGAAAACTGGGGAGTAGAAGCCTGGTTCGGCGTTTACTTGATCTAGTACTTCTATGGCCTGCTTGGTTAGGAGAGATGTAACAGCCTCTCTTAACTTTGGTAGTTGTTGTGCCTGGAAGTCGAACTTGTGAGGGTTGACTGTCAGCGGAGGCGTGGCCTGTAGTGGGATACGATATCCGTGTTGAAGAATGTTGGAGACATAAGGGTCTTGTAACATTCCCCAGTTCTCCCAGTGCAGTTGAAGGCGTCCACCCACTTGTGACGGTTGTACTGGAACGGCTGGGGGTGGAAGACTCCAGTCGTTCCGAACCTGTCTTTCATCGTTTATAGTTGCGGGAACCTCTGGGTGCCCTGCCTCTTCCTGATCCTCCTCTGTAGTTGCCATATGGGCGACGAAAAGAATCTTTTCCCCTGGAGCTGGCCATCTTCCTATCCCGTGCTCTCTGTAATCCAGTGAATTTAGATTTCCCTGAATATCTTTGTGAAGTCTGCCTGATGACGCTGGCTAGCGTGTCCATCGACTTTATCATAAGGACTTCTCTAGAATCCTTAGTGACTTCCTTGGAGACTTTCTCTATCCCTCCGTCAAAGATGGATGGTGAGGACCACGGGGCTGTATAGAGTGGAGCTGTAAACTGCTCACCCCAGCTGCAGGAAGCGAGGAGGCCTTGACGACGAGCTAAGGTTAGCGCTGCTGAGACTGATGTGAGATGATCCGTTAGGAACTGCTGGTCCTTCTTTTGCATAAGTAGGGCCGAGTAGATCATTCTATCATCTTCAGAAGTCGTGTCACGAAATCTGGTGATAAGAGTCTCATTGATCGTTCTAGATCTATTAAGGCCAAAGAACATACGCCTCGTCATGGTTTCTATCTGAACCAGCTTGCGATCGTCAATCTTATAGTTCTTATTCTTGACATCGTTGATCATTTTGTAATTATCATCGATGTCTTGTGCCTTGAGGAAGGGGTCCATATTATGAGTTGAAAACTTCTTAGCGTGAAAGTGCGGTAAGTGTGGCGTTTGAACTTTCGTGGCTTTATGGAAGGCTGTGTCCAAATTCTGTGGCACCGCAGCAATCGGGTCGATCGGAGGTAAGGTGATGGCGTCTGCATCGTCCTCCTTCATCAGGTAAGTATGCGCCGAGTTACCACTCTTGGAAGGTGAAGAAAGGTCTAGGTTGTTAACCATCCAATAACGTATCTCAGCGTCTGAGAAAATGATGCCTCCATCATCTTCTACCACGGGATCGCTGATAAGAGGTTGATGCTCTTCTGATGGTGGACTATGTGCTTCTACCACTGTACAAGGTGACGTTAAAGGAGACCTGACTGTGGACTTCTGTGAAGACTTGTGTGGTGACCTGCGAGGAGATCGACGTGGTGATGTACGAGGAGATCGGAGCGGTGAACGGCGAGGTGATCGGCATGGAGAATGGCGAGGGGATCGTCTTGGTGAACGGCCTGACGATCTGCGTCTAAAGGTTGACCTTCGCGGAGATCTGTGAGGTGAATGTTGATAAACCCGCGAAGCTCTTGTGGAATCCCTCGATGTCCTTCTGGGCGAAGATGATTTAGAGCCTGATAATGGTGCCCTTCAGCGAAGGCCTTCGCGAAGCTTCCTCTGCGTCGGTCCTGGGGAGCGGCGACTTGACGACCTTCAGCGAAGGCTTTCGTGAAGTCTGGTGGTCGAGTCGAATCTAAGGATGAAGCCGAGGTAGGTGATGATCTATCCGCCTTTGCGAAGGGCCGCGAAGGCTGTACATCTGGGTCCTTCATCGAGGTGGTCTGTGACTTCCGCCAGCGAAGGTGGCTTCGTCGTGGCGCTTCGTTGACGGGGGTCCCTCTGGGGGTGTCGTCTACGTTGGAGCCCAGCGAAGCTCAGGTCCTGGGCTGGTTGTCTCTCCAGTCTGTAGTGGTCCTCCATCATCTTCATGATTTGCGCATCAGGTCGTCTGGGGCCGGTCTGCGGCGATGTAGTTTGGTGCCCTCTCTGCGATGTTAGCGGACGGGGCCCTCAGGAAGATCGTCCGACATCGGTGTAGACACATCAGGCTGCATGGCGATCTGTGCTGACGTCACTGTTGCCGACACCGGTCGTCTCTTGTGGCGTAGATCGGGGATGATGATCGGCTGATCATCGTAGAGGCCCAGTTCAGCGGCTGGAACAATCTCGGCTGAGAAGGTTCTTGACGACCGTAGACTTTCCCTTGGAGGTAGGCGCTGCCCTGGGGAGTGCAGAGTCTGCGTTGAGTAGATGTCGAGGCCCTCTTAGACTTTGGCTGCGATGACGGGATGTCTGGGGAAGCAGGACGCTTCTTGGAGGCGGCGGACTGCATCCCACGCCCCTCCTCGAGGGAAACTCTAGCGGAACACCAGACGGGAGGGGGTCGTCCGACAGCAGCTGACTGGCTAGGGGTTCCGATGTATCGGCCATGTCTAACCCTTGTTTGCGTGACCTATCTGCTGCACATCTCAAGACGCAAAGATGATATTTATTAAAAGCAGAATTAGATAGATTAATACAGTAACTGCAACGTGAATCAAACGCACAAGGCGTAGTACAGCTAGGGCATATTACATGCGGGTCAGCAGCAGAAAAACGTAATCTACAAATAGTACAGATTTTCATCAACGTAAACTAGCTGAACAATCACGAAATCTCGTGAATAAACAGTAGAAATACGAATAATTATCAATACATATTAATGAAGGATACTAGTTACACCTCTATAGTAACCTATAGGAGGTAACTAACTAAGAATAACCAAAGGATATAGTGTGTTCTCACATCCTGCTCACTGGGCGAAGAAGGAGAGAGTGAAGCATGAGGCCAGAAGGTGGCGCCGCTTTTCCTGAGCAAAGGCAAAGGGAGGCAACTCTTGGTGAGTACTAATTAGTGATTTTACATTGAAGGGAGCTTCAATTAAGGAGATACAAGTGTTCCACTATGTTCGCAAGAAGAAGAAGACAAGCAAAAGAGCATGAGTCAGGATAAGGAAAAATAAAGTGTTTCATAGCAACCAATCACTCCCTACTGCAGTCTACCTGAAAGGAAGTCAGTCTCTCACGTCTACCACTTTGGTGAAAAGTACAGAGGTATGGTGCGATCATAATGAGGGCACACTAACATTCCAGCCAGTAATCATAGATTTCTGGTGTGTCCAAATTGCACCTCACCTCAGCAAATTGTGGTACCTGAGACAACTGGGTAAACCGCCCCTACATAAACCGTGAGGGTCTGACTTGACGCTCTTTCTCACTGGTATCATATCTTCACACAGTAACAACCCATGGTGACAAATCCTTTGCCTGCTCTGCCCCTCTACTCTGGAACTCTCTCCCGATCACCATTAAGTCATCAGTTGACTTTAATTCCTTCAAACGACTTCTCAAGACTCGTCTGTTTTCACTGCATTATGACTAGCTACTAGTCCCTCATTGTAGATATGTATATTATCCACCCACTTTGTTAACGCTTTGTTCATGGGCCTTGTGCATGGAAAAGGCGCATTATAAGTTCACATTTATTATTATTATATAAGGGTAATGCTTTTTATTTCCCTTGATCAATTTGAACTCCAATGAAAACAATGCTTACCAAGCTTTACTCATTAATAAAAAGTCTAAATTCATTAAATGTTATCGTTATTCACCTACGTTTAATCAAACTGATCAAAGTTGTCACTAAGATGAATGCAGATCAACCAATCACAAGCTAAAGGCATATAAGGAAGCCTGTCAAATATCAGGAGCTGAAAATCTTCAAATATTCTCCAACAGTGTGTATATATCTCCTGATGGAAGAGTTTTAGTTCTGATTGAAGTATTCACACAAAAGCGGAGTTATTATACCAAATACATGTTGTGTTTATAACCACTGGTAACCAAACAAGCATATATGTGTGTCTTCCAACGATGATGTGTACAAGGCAACTGCATATACATAAAACACTCCACGAATGACCTCACAGCAGTGCAGCACGCTTACACACAGCGTTGCAGACTAGAACTAAGGGAGGTAACTACTGAGCAGGCAGGCACGAGCAATAACTTACTGGCGCCTTTGGTGGTTGTAGTAGAGGAAGATGTGGAGGCTGACAGAGAAGAGACAGGGAGAGAAAGTGGAAATCACAGGAGAAAGGCTTTAAAACATATATATATATATATATACATATAAAGGCAAATGTTCATCTGGCTTTTGTGATACCTATGCTGTCTATCACTGAATATTAAAATTAACCCTTAAAACGCACACAACATTCATAAATAGCTTATAATTTTGATTATAATAAATCATTACATCACACAGAAGTACTACACTAACTAATTGTTCACATATTCTCAAATTTAAGAGACTTAAAATAATGATAATATGGCACATGTTCATATCATTTGGATCAAACATGAATGGTTCACATCAACTTCCTGACAAAATATTTGATTGATTATTGCTTCAGCACCAGTGATCCCTTTTCCTTCTTTTTTAAGCAAATGTCAGATATTCCCAGTCGTATGATGATTCCAAGACATTTACTCAAATGTGTTCCTTTTCTGTAAGTGTGAGTGAGTGAGTGAACATATTTGACACAATAACTGCTGAAAAAACACAGCTTTTAACTGTAGTGAGCGAGTTTGGTTTTATGCCGCACTAAGCAATATTCCAGCTATATGGCGGCGGTCTGTAAATAATCGAGTCTGGACCAGACAATCCAGAGATACGATACGACATGACATGTGGGATACGATGACATGTGTCAACCAAGTCAGGGAATCTGACCACCCGATCCTGTTAGTCACCTCTTACGACATCATCTACCCCGGATCTTCACGGGTCAGCAATATTCCAGCAATATCACAGCGGGGGACACCAGAAACAGGCTTCACACATTGTACCCATGTGGGGAATCAAACTTGGGTCTTCAGCGTGAAGAGTGAATGCTTAACCACTAGGCTACCCCTGCACCCCGCTTACAACTGTGTATCATGGCCACACTTTGTGGAAGTCAGTCTTCAGATATACTGAATCCTGAATAACTGCTGGATCAATGAAAGGAAAGCACAATGACAACAGGTTCAACATGGACATTTGAATTCAAACAACTGCAATACCGGATTTGAAACATGACTCTAAATGTGTAGAATCAGATAACAAGATATGCACAATCATGAAAGCAAATTAAAATGTTAATATTAATGGTCACATCATATGTCACTCACATGTTAACTAGTGTATTTTAAATATTTACTCTATTTAGATGTACCATACACAGTGGACCGGTTAGCAATGAAACATTTATTTGAGAAGTGATGTCACTATTACCATCTCTCTTATAATTACATCAGCACAGAATTTCTGTACCTCATGGTCACAATATCAACATCCAATCTACAGATTCTTCCGAATGAGTGTTTAAATACCAATCAAGTTGAGAATATTCAAATCTTGTTTAGAAGAGGGACCTTGAAGACGCAAACCCCTATACATTTAATAAATTCAGAAGATATTCATTAATGTTGTTTCAGGTCCATTCAATCATTAATCACTATTATGTCTAATAAGATATCAACAGAGATGGCAAGTGACATGTTTAAGGGTCATCATGACCTGTGTTAGTTACCTGGGAACACAGGGTGTGGGGGCATGCCTGGCCCGGCCATCATGCGAGGGCCACCACCCATCTGGGGTCCTGGTGGGTAGCCTGGTCGAGGAGGACCCTGTCAACACAAACATGCATCTGGTGAATGTCACAAATATGTCTATATATCTGAAGAGATTCATCAGGACCTGCTCAGAGGCCAATATTACTATTAAGCCCAAATCTGCAAAGAATGTCAGAAAAAAAACAAAAATGGAGATTGAAAATCTTTTAAACCATGTTAACAGGGTTCTATCTAGAATCACCAAACACTTAGCTAAGATGTGTTGTGGGTACAATGAATAATATTGTGCGTCCCTCTGGTCACAGTGAATTGTTTTTCTGAGTCCATTCTCTACATTTGTGTGTATGCACATTTATGTGTTGCGTAAAACCCTGTGTTTAAGATCGTTGTCACCAGTAATATGATAGGTTGGCAGAAGGGACTTGTATCTTATGACATGGCCAATAGAGTAGCAGAATTATGATTATTGTTAAAATACCTTTGAGATTAGGAAAATAACAACTTAAAATTAAATAAAAAACAATGAATCATTTTCAATAATTGTAAGCACAATAAATTGGAAATTCAATTCAATTTTTTTACAAATCCCAATTCTAAACCATAACAGTTTGTTCCTGAATTGACTACCAAGGACATTTAACATGTATTTCATAAATTCAAAATTTGAACAAAGGCACAAACTATTTTCAGTTTGGAGTCATCACATACATGTATTGACAGGATAATTGAGTCATGATTAAATGTATTACAATATGTCATTACATACTTAAAATACTTTGTTTTGTGAATGTGTGAGTTTTATTTTCACCCTCTTTTCACAATAGTCCTGAAATATCACTGCAGGGGACACCAAAACTGGGCTTAACACATCGTACCCATTTGGGGAATCGAACCCAGTCTTAAACATGAAGCAAATACTTGAACCACAGGGCTACCCTACCATATGCATACAAATTAGTGGAAGTTTACATACCAAACTCATTCTTGGAACAGTTATTTCAAATGAAATGTGAAGTTTTACTGTTGAACAACATCACTAGCTATCGGATACTGGTCACACAAAAATAATGAAAGGTGAGACATATCAACAAAAAGGCCCAGCACTTAAAAAAGGCATCAATCTTTCAACTGAGCATTTATAACACTGTCGACTGTGGGTGCTTATGTACTTGGTGGTATATCTGAAGATACTTCACCAGTTCACCTCACCTCATTCTCCTAAGTATCTGTCCCAAACACGAGACAAGTTCATCAAAATAATCCAGGTCACCATTGAGTTAAATGTCAGCCAAGCAAAGAGACCTTGTCTGAAATTCAGTTTACATTCTAGTATCCTGAACACTATATACAATATTGAAAATAACTTCTTGTATTACAAACGGTGGGTTAAATGGGACTGTTTTCACTTGTCCTGGCTCATGCTGGTTGTATAATACTAACCTATTGTGATACCTTGCCACAGTTTAACATGATAATCCCACTCACACACAGTACACTGTGAACATGATAAGCCAATCAGGGCCCCATTTCACAAAGCCATGGTAGCGCAATGTCGTACCTCCTATGCTGTACCATATACTTACGACAGTCATAGAGTTATGAAAGCTTTGTGAAACAGGGCCCAGTTCTTGTTATATTCCTCCAGAACAAAGTTTGAGTATTACTATAACATGGAATGAACTGCCAAACTTTCACTGTCCAGTGAAATGTTTTATCCACTAAACCAAGGGGTTAGTGTATCACAAAAGATGAAGCTGAAAAACCGTTATTATGTTTCAAGTTTCCTCACACACTTTAAGATTTTGCTCACATATTTCAGCCGTGAAAGGAAAAATACACAAAATGTTGGTTAATCTTCAAACGTAACAAAATTGTCAAGTTATAACTTCCATTTATGTAATCAATGCAACACAGAATGAGAGAGATAGCAGGTATCAGTGTTATGTAGTACAAATCTGTAAATCTGACAACAAATCATTTTTCTTTATCAAAAGTTTATACATTATTTATTTCCTGAATAGCAAAGAAACAGAATAAATTGAGGTTTTGGTGGGGTTTTTATGAGAAGCACTCGCAAACAGGCGAACTAAACAGAATTAAAGCAACAAATTTATTGTCTGATGTAGCTATGAACAAATTAAGACTTTTTCAATTCCCTTTTAATGTAAAATGAGTGACCAACCTAACTTTGGACTATGGAGGCTACCTGAAACGATAAATAAATGCTGATCTACTGAATGGGAGTCAGGTATCTATCATAAGCAGTGATGGTACGTATCTATCTTCATCCAAAGTTGTGGCCAAAAGTATCGTTATTTTAATGCTTTTTTGTATTGTCTCTTACATTGCTATCTGTAACTCTTATTACGTTTTTGTATCAGAGCTTTTATTCCAAATTCATTTCCTTTCATCAACTTAATTTTTATCTTTTCATAAAGTTTCTGTCAAAGGGAGATAAATGCTGTATGGGTATTTAAAGCCAGTGCATGAAAAAAGTCAAGCTCAGCAGCCATGATATTTTCAGGTCAGAAATAATGTCACTGCTAATAATCAATGCTACACAATACTACTCAATCCTACTGCTGTACCTACTCATTCAATCAAGATGTAAATCTGCAATGCCATAAAAAGGAAAAGTTCACTTCTCTATCTTCATCCAGACATTCAGTGCTGATGTTCTAACTGGCCTGTATTAGCCCATGCACCTGACCTATCTCCAGGACAAGTTCGTCTATGCTACCTTCTCCACAAATGAAGTCAATAAAATTGGATTTCTTCTGGTTACAGAGACCCACCCTGTCTGGAATTGGTTTCACTACTTCACACAGAGAAAATTCTATTAATGTGACTCCAAGAAAATTATCCCTTACTTTATAAATCATCCAAATACTAGAGAGAAAGTATAGTAATCACAAACTGAATTATCCTATCAATCTCTTATCCATGTTAAAGTTCAAACATAACAGAAAAGTCAAGTTATAATTTTCATTTATGTAATCAATGCAGCACAGAATGAGAGAGACTGCAGGTATCTGTGTTATGTAGTACATATCTGTAAATCTGACAACAAATTATTTTTCTTTATCAAAGGTTCATATACTGTGCATGAAAAAGTCAAGCTCAGCACTGCTGTACCTTCTCCTTCAATCAAGTGAGTGAGTGAGTTTAGTTTTACGAAGCTGACCTGTATTGGCCATGCACCTGACCTATCTCCAGGACAAGTTCATCTATGCTACCTTCTCCACAAATGAAGTCAGTGAAATTGGACTTTATCTGGTAACAGAGACCCACCCTGTCCGGTTTACGGTTCACTACTTCACACAGAGAAAATTCATTAATGTGATCCCTTACTTTTAAGTTTATAAATCATCAAAATGCTGGAGAGAATGCATAGTAATCACAAACTGAAGACCTCCATGTTCAAAACTATTTGCTGTAGTTACAATACACAATGTCAAGGCTGAGTGGTACCTATTCAACCTTCACCTTGATAAAACTTGGATCAACGGCACATGTTCACTACTCAGCTTAAGAAACAATTTCTCCAACCAATCAGGGCCTACTTTATATAACACCCGACAATGGACCCTTATATAAGTTGAACCATCTGTTTCCCCAATACACAGTCAGATACACCCGCACACAAGTTGCAGTGCATCCTCCACAATGGGCATTTGGTTTGCTTCTCTTGATATGGTAAGTTTTTCCTGAAGTTCAACTTTGTATCTACTGTGTCTCTTAGTGATGTGCCGATGATCGAAAATAATCGAAAATCAATCTGAAGAAGGATTAAAAATGATTATAGATTGTAAAAAACATATTTTGGATCAATCAGAGTATTGTTGTTTTTGTATGGCACCCTTGAATGAAGTAAACTAACCATCAAATTTGATGAATATTCACGAACAAACATGCGCTCAGCAGCGTAAAGCTATGCACATTGTAAAATTTTAACCACTTTTATTGTTTAATTACAATTGCAGTGTCATTCTTGCATGCGTGCATTTCATTGAATGACAGCATTAGTTATAATAAAAAATGTGGAAAAACCCTTAAAATTGGTGATTACATTAAAAATGTATATACATATTTCAATTATAATCAATAATCGTTCACCACAATCCTCCGATAGTCGATAGTGGATTTGGTTTCCAATTCCCAGCACTAGTGTCTCTACTAGTACTACTCAGTTGTAATAACAAGTAACAAAACTATTTCCACAACCATAATCACAGGGGCAGATGCAACTTATTTGAGAAGGGGTGGGTGGGGTGGGGGTGGGGTTGCACACTATTAAGAATGTCTTAATAAATTACTTATCAAGTAGTGAAATAAAATGTTTAAACCTAAAGCTTGAAACCTTTACCTGTTTACTTCCCACATTGACATGACTGCCATGGTCAATGGTACTTTATGTACTTACATATATGGGACATTTGATTCAATACACTATGGGACATTCTATTCTCTGCATGTGACATGTTCATAATTGGCAACAAATTTAACAACCAATTCAAATCATTTTTCAAAATTTGTTACTGCCAAATACAGACAGTGTCACTCAAAATCCTTATGTTGTTATTGTTGAATTTGTATTAAGTACTGTGGTATTGACAGGTTACCATGGTTACATTCATCTGTAAAGCAAATTTCATGATTTGGTTACAGATGAATGTAACCATGGTAACCTGTCAATAACTTACAACAATAGTTAAACTGTTATATATATAACAATGATAGTAAATAATGTATTATATTAATGTTTACTATTGAAAAAAGAGTTTGTTGAAATTGAAAATGACATTGGTAAGATTTTAGACATGCTGTGACACATGGCTGAGGCACTGTGTAGAACAGGGGGTTGTTATTCTAGAGATATCTTTGACAACAAGGTGACCATAACTCTCATATCTTAACACATGGTAGTCTTAGCGCTAAGGTTGTTTTGTACAACGGCAACCAGTCAAGATGATCAACACATTATCCAGATTAAGACAGTCCTGAAAATTTGAGACTGTGACATTTTAGGTGGAATCATGTGGCACATATCTTCA